GAGCTACACATGATCATATTAGAAGAGGATCCTTCAGTTCCTTTTACAGAGATTGGCTTGTGAAAACCTATATAAAAGCACTTGTATCATAATCTGCAGACTGCTTTAAAACGTGTCTGGTTTCTTCCCATGCACTTCATCTGTGAATTAGGCAGGGCTCAGATAAAATGATACCATTTTATTGGTATCGTTGGTATCAGTGCCCAAGTCATTGAGCAAGGACACTGCAAAGGCAGAACTTGAACCTGGATCTTCTTGCCCCAAGGCCTCTGCCCTTCCCAGGGCCCGGTGTGGACTGCCTCCTTTTAAGTTGTTGCTGAGGTCATTATTAGACAAGGGCTCATGATGGCGGCAAGCTGTTACCTTTCATTCCTTTGTTTATTTGGTTTTTCCCTAAAGGATTTTGGTGAGCCTTATGACAACTTGGGCAGTGATTTATAAACCTTCGGGGGTGACGGGAAATTACACACTGTATTTCCAAAGTCCCCAGAAAGTTTTCTTTGGGTGTCTTTAAGGGGTTTGAATGTTTCTGAGAGCAGCTGACCTAAAGACTTCGGAAAGCTTTGCCACTAACAGAATCATAATGATGGGTACAGTTCCCTCCTCTCCACTCCTCCCTCTTGCTGCCTCCACTCACTTGGTGGCAGTGGCGTGGCCCTGGTTCCTCTGCACTGTGGCATAGTGCTATGCTAGACTCTGCCCCAGACTCCATGGGGCTGACAGTGCAGGAGGGGGGACAGGTGAATAACCAGGGAGAGAAGTAAGTAAACAAAATTACTAGAGATTTGCTACTTGGCATGAGGGGGTGAGGAGAGGGTGGGAAAGTGTGATTCAGAAAGAGGGGTCAGGAAAGGGAGCATCTCTCTAGGGAAGTGACATTTGACCTGAGACATAAAGAAGAAAAGGCAGCAATTCTGGTGGAGAATGAGTGAGTGCCCAAGCCCTAAGGAAAGAATGAATTTGCAAGTGTCCAAGGAGTATTGAAGAAGCCAGTGTGCCTGGAACACAGTAAACAAGGGCTAGAGGGGTGCATGAGAGGATTGAGGGAGGGACAGGGACGAGTCAGGAAAGTTTGGATTGTATTCTAGAATCAGGGGAGGGTTTTAAGCAAAGAAGTGATATAAGTAGATTTATCTCAATTAGATAAGTGGATAGATAGATGAACAGATAGATATGATAGATAGATAGGTAGATAGATAGATAGATAGATAGATAGATAGATAGATAGATAGATAGATGATAGATAGATTTGATAGATACAGATATAATAGTAAATGTCTGGTGGTTTGGAGAAGCAGAAGTGGAGCCAAAGAGACAAGATTTAAGGCTATTGTTGATTTGGTTCTGGTGAAATACGTGATGTTAGGATGGTGACAGTGTGAATGGAATGACGTGGATACATTTAAGATTTCATCTGTAATTTCTGAGGGCTGGGCTGCGGGGAAACAGAGCGTCATGACCTGATGCACTGTGGTCCACCTTGGCCAAGGCCAGGTGGGGCGGAGGTGACCATGTGCGGAGATCACTCATAGCACGGCAGTCCAGACACATTTTCCCATCACTCCATCGGGGTCCCTGGGACTTGCCATTCTTCCTTCAGGCTGTGCTTAGCCAGCTCTGAGGGCGCAGGGTTGCTGACGTGCCTGGCATAGCTGTTGTGAGCGTAGAGCTGGAGTCCACATCTTCCCTAATAACCTTGTGTCTAAATTGTAGTGTCACACAAGGGCGTGTTCAGAAATTAGCATTTGAAAAGAAGCCTCCTTGCTTTCAGTTTGAGCTGACATGGTCCCTTTTCCTCTGTGGAAATGAAATTTATTAATCATAATAAAACCATCAGAATCTGAAGGTAGAGGTCACCCTGAGGAGAAAAGGCGCCTGCTCATTTACCAGGAATAGTTCAGCGCTGCTGTATTTTTCTTCTGCCCAGGCAGAGAACATTGCCAAATTGTTACCTTGGGCTTTCCACTGAGGCTCTGCCCAGTGTTATAAACAAATAAGAATGTACAATTAAAGTACGTGGGAAAAAAGGGTGGGAGCTACGTTTTCATGCAGTGCATTCAGGCCACCAACATGTCGTCTACCAAAAAGAGGAAATCTTTGCCACAGTAAACTCATTCCCCAAATTAAAAGAAAAAACAGTAATTCCTCTGAATTTACATCTTCATACCCGTTTTGAAGGAACATCATGCTGTGACATTACACAGTCCATTTCCAAGGGTTTTCAGTTTGCTTTTGTTGTATATGTCCTGTTCATACCACCAGCTTTGCAGAGTGAAAGTGCATTAAAAATAATTCTATGATCACTTTTTTTAACCCTCTGGACTAATGACAACTTTACTTTCTCATGAAATAAAAATTAATGACGAAGTTGTATCTCGTGTTCTTTTACACCTATGAATATTTACTTCTAATTGCATGGGTCGAGGCCCAGCTTTCATGAGTGATCTCCCTGAATGAGTGACTTCTTCAAAAATGTCATCATTCCTCTTGTTTTAACATGCCCTCTGTCTTGGACTCCCATCTGTTTTTCCTCCCAGAGAGATGGGGGTCTTGGAAGGCCTTTTGTGATGAGCCAGAGGGCTGGCCGGTGTCTCAGGGAATGAAGTGCAAGGGGGAGGGTGGACTGTCTGTTTCACTGAGAAACATCCATTCTCATACTGCTTGTGAGGATCGGGAGAACACAGTATGTTGAAGCAGAAAGCCTCATCTGGATTGTTGGAGCTTGGTACCCCTTGAACAGGCAAGGAGGGCTTGGGAAGAAGACACATCCAATGTGAACTGGCCAAATCATTTTTCCCACCCGGAGTCTAAACTAGAGCCCGTGAGTTAGAAGGAACTTCACCCAACTTCTTCCGAACTTTCAGGGTTCCATGGTGTAAGCAATCATTCCAGGCCCATCCAGTACATTCTTTTTTGTTTTTGTTTTTCTTAATCTTTATTGTTGAAAGGATTAAGGCCTCCACCACCCTATTATCTGTGTCCATGGATTATGCATATATGCATTCAGGTTCTTTGGTTAATCTCTTCCCACCCACCCACCTCCCCCACCTTCCCTCTGAGATTCCACAGTCTGTTCCTTGCTTCTATGTCTCTGGATCTATTTTGTTCATCGGTTTATTTTGTTCATTAGATTCCACATATGAGTGAGATCATGTGATACTTGTCTTTCTCTGACTGGCTTATATGCTCTATCTAGTACATTTTTTTAATATATTGATGTCAGAGAGAAAGGGAGGGGGAAAGACAGAGACATCAATGAGGAGAGAGAATCATTGATTGGCTGCCTCCTGCATGCCCCCCTCGTGGGGATTGAGCCAGCAACTGGGGCATGTGCCCTGACTGGGAATTGAACCATGAGCTCCTGGTTCATAGATCGACACTCAACCGCTGAGCCACACTAGCCAGGCCCATCCAGTACATCCTTATTCACCAACTATGAGCAAGAAGATTGGAAGCAAAATGGTGAAAAGATAGGGAAGGAGAAGAATAAAGCATGTGGAAATTAGACTCCAAGAGATGGGAGGTGGCTTAAGGTTGACAGTAGTTGATAGAACAGACAAACCATTTCTTCCGGCCTTGTTCCTTCATTCTTTAAAGAAAAGTCCAAGAGCCAAAAGCTGTGGGTAATCCACATATATCCCATTTAGTGACTGGTACCTCCGCTCCCCAGCTGCTAACAGTGCTCAGGTGCTCCTTTCTTCAGAGAATTACCTTCTGCCCACGAAAGTCACTTCAACTCAGTTCTTCTCCACCCCCCAGGGAAACCTGCAGCTAATGCTTAACTTACACGAGTGTTCAAAAAACCAACCCCTTTGCCTCCAGCTGGGATTCATTCTGGGGCCCAACTCACAGGGTCAGGTCAAAGTTAGTCTCTAGCTTAGGCCATTTCTCCTCTTTCCCTTGCTATTGAACTGCCTGCCTCTCTCTCTCCTTCTTCTTTACATGCACAAGAATCTCTATTTCAGGTTCTTCTGGGGAACCTAACTTAAGATTGCATCTCAGCTTTGATCATTATTGAAGGAGCAATGTTCAAACTACCTTCAAGGAGGTATCCGGCAGGCCATTAAGTAAGGGTGCATGCCACCATGGAAAGATCCTTCCAGTGGCTCTGAGAAATGTAAAGGTCAGCTCTGACTGTCTAGCTCTGTGATCTTGAGCAAGTGACTTCACCTCTCTGAACCCTAATGTCTGATCTGTGGCATCATTCAGTCCCAGACACTTAATAGACACTGTATGCATCAGGCTTCCTTCCCTTCTTCATTTTTTATTCTGAGGCCTGTGCTGGAAGTCATGGCAGAGGAGGGAGGAGGATGGGAAAGAGAGACAGAAAAACTCGAAGATAAGGAACTGTCATCAAGAAATACTGTTTGAAATGTGTCCCTTCCCAGAACCTGGCCCTAGATTGATGAGTTAGAGGTTCTGGAGTGATAGGATTGAAATCAAATCAGCTATAACTCTTGAGTGGGGTGGGGTGGGGTGGGGTGGCGTCCCAGAAACCCTTCAAGGATGCTTCTATTTGAGTGTCTTTGCTCTTAACAAAGATGTTGGACCCTAGCTGCAAAGACTGGGTCACTTTGCCCATTTTGATTCACCCTTTCTCCTTTGATTGGTGACAGCTAAATTAGGAGAAAAGGACCATCTCTCTTGAGTATTAACATGTCCTCTGGGGGTACTGGGTGTACTGGGCTTCTTAAAACCATTCTTTCACGTTGTTTTGTGTTGTTTGTTTGTTTGTTTGTTTGCCTACCTCGGTCTCCAGGGTAGCCGCATGAGCAGTTAGAAATGGTCCTATGAGAGACCAGCCATGTTAAATGGACAAAAGAATGTGCTATGCACAGATGGACTTTTTAAATGTTATGTGGCAGATAGGAATATGTTCCTTAGGTATGAAGATGAATAGGGCCCCTCCACACTGTCTTGGTATTTTGCATTTTATGGTTGCTATTATTACTTTGTAACTGCATATTATGGATTAATCTTCACCTCTATTTCCCTTTCAGTTACGGACGAGTTTATGCTGCCGACCCCTACCACCACACACTTGCTCCAGCCCCCACCTACGGCGTTGGTGCCATGGTGAGTACCAATTCCTCCTCTTCCTCACTTCTTCCCGCTCCCTTCCCTTCCCCAGCTGGGACCTTTGTACGGGTTGACGGTTGACGTCCTCTCACTCTCCCCTTAATTGAATTTGTCTCTTGTGCTAATCTAACAGCAGCTAAAATGCCACATTAATCCTCCCAGTAAACTTGATAAATGTCTTAATTTCTTGGCAATGTAGTGCATGTAAGTTATTATATTTCTAATTTTGCAAGTCTCACCTAGCAGAGCACTTACCTTAATGGAATAATTAGTCATTTTGATAATTAAATCCATCACTAACAGAATGCAGTGTCAATGCAGAACTTTTTTTTTCTTTTTTTTTTCCCTCCCTTGCTGCTCATTCACATAGCCCCAAGGTTCCAGCCCCAGCACAGACTTCAGAGGAGCTAAGCTGCACACTTCCAGGCCTCTGCTGTCAGGCAGCTGAGAATCTGACTGCCTCTCCTCCCCTATTACAATTCATGTTTAAAGTCATAGTCGCCCAGGAAAGAAAATAGAGAGGGGCACACTTTGTGTGTGTGCCTAGTACATAAGGAATTAGAAGGAATCAGCTGGGTTTGGGGGTTGTCTTTTGGTTTTTTGGGGGTTGGGTTTTTGTTTGGGGGGTGGGGGGAGGGCAAACAGGGGAGGTGAGGGTGGGTGAATTTGCCTGTACTTGTTCAAACTTCTATGCACTAAAACTCTTGAGTACAGTAAGACGTGCCCATCACGTGAGAGCGTATGCAATCATTACAAAGCTTTTGGCATGCAGCTTTCTGCTTGGGATCAAGAATCTCAGTCCTTTATCCTAAAACTCAATCCCCATAGGCATTCATTTGAATCGCCAATACCTTTAGAAAAAGGAAATAAATTAAGTGCCACCTCGTAGCCGTCTAAAGCCATGGCCAGACAATTTGCTGGAGCGTGGTGGTAGAAATTCAACCACGATCTGGGGACCATGTTCTTTTGCACAAGCTCAGTTATATCAAGCAATCCATCCGTATGACTCCCCTCTTAAGCGCAAATTCCCATACAGCTCGTTGAGCCACGTCAAATAAGGAGTTGATTTTAATTTCCATCCTGATTTTGCCTTCAACCACTCTGCTTCAACACCTAGTCCACTTGAGTTATGTGTTGGAAAAGAGAGTGGAATTACGACATTCAATCAGTCGTCTGCATTCAACCTCTTGAGTGTAGATTGAGCTTTTCCCGATGGATCATAGTGTTAATGAATCAAATGAGCAAACAGAATGAGACACTGCACATCCTTCAGTGGTCCAGTGTATATCCGAGTCCTTTCAACTACCAGGACTGGCCGACAGAATTGGGTTTCAGAGGGGCTCTCTGTCTGTGGAGCTCTTGTGGGGGTTAGGATTGGCCCTATCTTCAGTTCTCCAAGAATGACCTGGGGTTGGGTAGGGGTGCCTTCATTTTGGTTGAGTTTGAGTGTCTATTTTTCACATGAGTAGTCTTTTTTTTTGATGATCCACGTGTTGCAAAAGGAAAATGTAAAAAACACACCCCTCAAATTGCTTTGTTTCAGAATGCTTTTGCACCCTTGACTGATGCCAAGACTAGGAGCCATGCTGATGATGTGGGTCTCGTTCTTTCTTCATTGCAGGCTAGTATATACCGAGGGGGATACAACCGTTTTGCTCCATACTAAATGACAAAACCATAAAAACCTTCCAATGTGGGGAGAAAGGAAGCTTTCCGAGGCCTGGGTATTGCAATACATGCAGTAGTGCATCATTTTAGCAACTCTAAAAACTAAAAAGAGGAAAAAAAATTACATTTTTTATCTTATACCTCAGATATTTTGTTCTGTGTATTTTACTATTGTGGGTCTTTAATTTCTGAAGGTTCCGTAGTTTGGTTGCTGGCTGTAGGAGTTTTGTTTTTTGTTTTCTTTTTTTTTTTTGTGGTTGACCTAGAGAGATGCTAGCTATGAATAAAAACTGGTTTAGGGCCATATCCAGAGTGCTTTATCATGTAAATGAATTATATATGCTGAATAGTAAGCTACTGGGGTTATCAGCTGTTCGGGAAGAGTGTAAGTGACTACAGTAGTCATTTTTTCTGCATCTGCATTATTTTATTTTATGAAAGGGGAAAGGTGGGAGGGACTTAGGGGATTGGGACTGGGGTTCGACTGAAAGAAAATAAAAATAGTAACTAATGAATCTAAACGACCCACTGCACCAACGATCATATAGCAACGGTTCTGAGTTACTCATTGTCCGTTCAGGCCAAAGGTTATGCTGTTAAGGGGATGCTTCTAGCAGCCCTTGTGCATCCAAGTTGAATGAAGCTGTGCAAACCCACCCTTTAACCTTTCCCCCCGGGCAGTATTCAGCTTCTTAACCAGCCGCTAGTTATTTAGGCAAAAACTGCTAGTTAGGCCATCAACAAGCATTCTTTTTATATTTCTTCCAGTATAATAAATTATTGATATCATTGCTGACTTTTATATTATGGGAGGGAAAAAAAATAACATTAATAAAAAGGTGATAAAAAGCACTGTTTCTATTTTTTTCTTTTTTTCCAAAAAAAGAAAGTAATAAAAACTTAAATTCTTTGTACCAGTTAAAAAATGTATAAAATTTACATCTGTGCAGTGGAGTTGTTAAGTTCTAGAAACAGTCTATGAAGCTTTAGTTTTAGCCTAGTAGAACAACTGTTAGAGACAGACGTATAATTTTTATGGAATTACATGATAATCATATTCGGATTTCTAGAAGCATTTTACAAGTATTGCAATCATTGAGTAGAGATAATCATGGTATTTTCGTCAGCTTGGTACTTTTTGAAACATGACTGTGTTATGTGAGCAAGCTGCAATTTTTCAGTCTGTGAGAGCCTGCCCACTTTCTCCCAACCCCACCCCACCCTCTATTCTTCCTGGTCCCCAGTGATGATCTCAAACCGGTAACTTTAGTTCTGTCTCCAAGGCCCAGGACACTTGTCAGAAGGAAGCAAAAATGTAGGTGTAC